AAAGGGGTAGAAAATGTGACTTCTAACCAAGAGTCAGAATCCTCAAGGAAAGAAATAGTTGGTCTGGGAAGATTGTCACAGATCTGTTAGGATGAGTACAGCAAAGCCAACTTCAAGGTTTCCTAGCTGTGAAATCTATGCTTAAGAAACAAGAAACATTTTCCTTCTGAAGGAAAATTGCTGCTGATCTTTGCTTACCCCACCCTTGACTATCTTTTCAGGGTTCCATGGCACACATATATATGCATTAATTTATTTAAAAAGCATTGCCTTTGCGCTGTGCTTCAAATTGTTTCTTTTTAAAACACTCCAGCTCAACTGTATTGTGTACCTCGAGGAAGGTCTCATTATTTATATATAATGATCTGTCTCCCTCAGAGCAGAACTGGTCACATAGTAGGCTCCCAGATATTCTTGGATTTTTTTTTATTAGATGTTTTCTTCCTAGACCCCTTGAAAATTGAATTTTAGCATATTATTAAATTACTTATATTACTCTCTTTAACTGGAAGAGGAACACAATTTTTATCAGTTTCTGGACTTCTCACAACCAAGATCAATAACCCTGGCTGCAAACTAGTCAGTTTCTTTAAATTGCAGCAAAACTCAACACTTAATTTACTTCTAAAGACCATATCTTAACAAGTCTCTGTGATTTTTAAAAATTTTTTATTTATTTATGCATACAAGACTTGGGTACAGGCCAGATGTGGGGAGGGGATGGGAAGAGTCACCAAAGACAGAGTGGAAAGCAGAACAGGCAGATCTACTGAAATGCACTGCTAAGGGGAGCAGCAGGCGGGTCAGGAGAGGTCTGCCACCCATGCTGGTTACCTCCCTGGGGCAAGATCAAACTTGCACTGCAGTGGCTCTGAATATCTTCATTGTGCTGTGCTTTAACTTGTTGCACTACCCGGGGGACCATAACAAGTTTCTGTTTTGAAAAGTTTCCATTTTGAAAGAAATCTGAAGCAGTGTCAGTGGGTTATCTGCAAATCTCAGAGGCTTCCCACTAAGTAGAAACAGGCCGTGGCAGGGTGGAAACACCATGTAAGTATTTGTCACATAAGTGGTGTTTGGCCAGAGGGCATGGTGGTTGCTTCCTGCATCTTTTTCCCCTTTGCTTCCTCTGGCTGTGGTGCTCTTCTCTCCTGGAGGCTGTAGACACCATTAGGGAAACCTCCCTGATGAGCCTGTGCTTTGCCTGCAAAATTCTGGAGCTCCTGGGCTCCCTATGGGTGCCACTCCTTGATGGTCCTGAGCACTTGCACCCAAATTCCTTATGAAACTCACATACTATGGGGGCTAGCCCTTTGGGTCCCTTGAGTCTCAGATAATGCCCCAAAGGCAGAGTGTAATCAGTACAGATTTGTTGAAAATGATGAATCTTCATTTGGCTTGAAAGAAAACTCTAAAAATAAGAGCATTGCTACTAGACCAAAAAAAGGAGGATTTAAGGATAAGATTCCAAACCATTATTTAACTCAGATAGCCATTCAAGTTTATTAAAATATGTGCATTTTGTCTTCAAAGTTTTGAAAGTAGGATTTTGCTGCAATGTATCAAGGAACTAAATCCTCTGTTTTGTTAAATTCAAAGGTGAATAGATACAAATACCTGCCATGATCAGCCAACCAGCTCAAAATCTTGGAAAAGGGTAGACAGTTGGTATGTCTTTGAACTCTTGTCTTTTTGCACCTTTCAGAGAAAAATAGGTAAGACTGATGTTGGAATCATTTCAGAAAGACTTGATGTGCTGATTCAGAAATGTAAAGAAAACGAATCCCTCGAGTTTGTTTCTTGAGGAACCCTGAGAGCATGATGGAATTTATAGAGGAAAAAAAAGACTCTTGAGAGACAGAAAGTGAAGCTTAGAAAAGGGGAACTCTTGACCTGAGGGAAGGTGAACATGAGAATATAAACACAGGAGAGTTAGTGCTAGCTTTTAGGAAAACACAATTTCATCCTTCAGAGTTGACATTTTCTTTACAACATTGGTGAGATTTAGTTTTTTTTTTAAGCTTTATTTATTTATACATACAGAACTGGGGTACAAGCCAGAGGCTCAGGGGTGGTGAGAGGATTCACCAGAGACAGAGTGGGGAGCAGAACAGGCAGATGGGTGAAGTCCACTGCTGAGGAGAGCAGTGGGTGGGTCAGGAGAGGTCTGCTGTGCCATGCCGGTCACCTCCAGGGCCAGGGATCGAACTTGTGCTGAAGTGGCTTTAACCTGTTGTGCTACTAAAAAGAGCCCAGTGAGATTTAGTTTTAATTGAAAAAAGATTTTTTTTTTCATTAAGATAATCTAATTGAGTAAGGACAAAATGAGAAACTGATAGCTTAACTGGTTGCTGCAATTCCACAATCCTGCCCTAAACTTTGCTTTCTTTATAAAGTAAGGAACAAGAGGGCTACTGGAAAGACCAACAAGAAAGGTTACAAGCATTAATCAAATGGAATTTCTAGAATATTTTATTCAGTGAATAAGATCCAAAATCACTTTCTCTTGCAGGTCTCTCCCAGTCTGCCCCTAGGCACACATGTCCTGGGGCTTGCGCTGGGTCATGTGGCTGTCATTCAGCATTAGCTCAAAACAGCAAAGGCGCTTAGCCCATGTGTTCAGAGAACTGGAACATTCTGATGAGGGAGACTGCATGGGACTTGAGTTCAAGGAAAGCTGAAAACCTGATGGACTTTCACAAATATTCCCAACTGTTTCTTCTGCACTACCAATTATAAGTATTAAAAAATGCTGTCAATGGTGGAAGTGGCCAATAGGTCTTAGGCTATTTTAATTTTAGTTTCCAAAACACAAGAAGAAGAGGGGACTGTGTCTGACATCACCACTGAGAGGCTTTAGTCAGACTTCCTCAAAAAATCATTTTGCATTGGGCAATAAGAACCACTTCAAAGGCTCACCCTTTATTTTTCCATCCTTTTCCAACAATGGACAACTGCAGCTACAGCAGCAAAAGCCACCTCAGTGACAACCATTGACTCGGCCTGTCATTGCCCAGGAAACCCAGATGCTGCTGATGGTTCTTTTCCTTGTGTCCCTTACAGAATCGTGGGAAAGGTAGTGAAAACTTGCAATTACATGAAGCATGAGCAGCACTGCGATCATGTGGGATAAAAAATGTGTTTCCTCAGAGCCCCCTGGGGATGTCCCCCCAAGGTTGCTCCTGAGGGTTCTGTTGACACCTCTAGTAGAGCATCTGCAATGTATGAAGATCCACATGTGTGAGTTCTGAAGAGCAGAGCCTACATCCTATGCACTTTTAGATCTCCAGCATCTTATGGCTTTTGGAACATCATGGGTCTCCATAAATGTCGTTAAATGAATAAAGGCCCATAATTTGGTGACAGTTGGGAAGCCCATCACAACCTGGAGAACTTAGGGAAATAATGTCATGGCATACTATTATCCTCTGACATATATATTGTACCCATTCCTATATGTCATACCCATATTTGATAAAGAGATATAAATAGTTGTACACTATACACATGTATTACATCATAGGGGGAAGCCAATCTTCAAGGGGGTGTCTGTAATAGTTAAGTACAGACAATTTTATCTGCCCAGGCAACAATTCTGCCTATAAAAAGGGAGGAACGGAGACCCTAAAATCCAGATTCAGGAAATACAGTTGGTGCAGCAGAACCACAGTAGTCCGTTTATAAATGGCTAAGATGGGGCAGGAAGGCGAGACTGTTCTGTGCCTGCTCATGGGCTGTGACTCCCCCTGTACCTTTTAGGGTCCGTTCTTGTCTAGCTTAAAATAATCTTCTTAATCTTTCAGTAATCAAGTCAAACGTCCAGTAATTTACATTAATAATTTCAGTAAGACTTCCTTCTGGATGATCAACATCTCCCAGGAAAGTAGAAAAGATGGATGTAAAAAGTTCATTTCCTCCTCATCGAGATAACGACCCGAGTGCATTTTATCTTAGGCTGAGGGCTGCCTGGAAGAGGAGAGAGGTGGGAGCTCTCAGGGAAGGATGGGGGTCCAGACAGCTTGTTTCCCCTCAACCTCCCTATTGACTCTGAAAGCTCTCTTCTAGGCAGCATTCTTGTTACTAGTACTCCACCCCACCCCCATCTCATCCTATTATTTATGCATTTCTCTGTGCAATCTCCTGCCCTAGCCCTCTAAAGAACACAGGCTGTGGATAGCGAGGTGCGCTCCCAGTGCGGCACACCATAGGAACGTGGTCTCGGTGAGGGGGGCGCCCTCGTGGGGACACCACCTGGGCAGTCCAGGGCGTTCTCAAGCCGTCACACAGTAGGAGATCACCCCCTCCCGTGGTCTTCTGGACTCAGTGATGACGCTCTTTAAGCGGTCGTCGGTTAGGGCGATTCTGCAGCGTCCTGGGAAGCAGCTTCCGCGCACCACCGTGACTGGCTGTGTCGAGTCTGCCGCGAACACCCAGACTCTTGCTGCGAGGAGACCATCATTCCAGGCCGGTACTGTATGGGCCCGCGGGGTCGCTACCACGTGAGTGGATGGATGGAAGCCAGATTCGGGTTTTCAAGTCCCCTGGCCAGAAACGAAAACGAGTCCAACTGCAGCGACGGCTCTCCCGGAATGCAGGTCCAGGTAGACTGCACTTCGCTCGAGGTGGCCCGGCGTGGCGCACCCACGTCCAGCAGTTTCCTCCCTAAGCAGAGCGCCCCAACCTCTAGGGACACGCCGCTCCCGCGCGCCACGGGGTTTGGGAAATGCGCACCGGCTGCTGGCTGAGCCCAGCGGGGCGGCAGGCCGACGGCGCCCGCGCCCAATCGCGGGGCGGGGCCGA